TAGCTGTTGAGGTCTTTGGGGTGTGAAGTCTTTGGCACTGGTACAACACAGGAGGTTTTCCAGAGCTGTGGAACTCTTCCCAACCTCAGGCTCAGCTTGAAGAGGTGCTCAGTAAGAGGTGAATAGTAACCAGAATCCTATCTGAGCTCAGATATGTCAGTCTTTCCGGCTTAATAGTCAGTGTTCAGTGATTTTGTCCAACCGCTCTGCTGCAATTCTTCGTGAGAGAAGAGCAACCTGCCCTTCTGGGCCAACTCGGAATGGCTGTGGTTCGGTTCAAAGGGAACGGCTCGCCATCTTCCTCGTCAGGAAGAGATCCAGGTTGCACGATCCCCCAAAAAAGCCTAGCCTGTAAACAACAGGGCTATTACTAATTCAACTCACACTGTAATGATATATATGGCCATATGTAAATAATTTAAGTGCTATAACAAATCAAGCACAAAACATTAATTCTAATTTCTAATTACAGTCTATACAGTGCGTCTTAATCATGAATGCAATCTTTAAATCACAATCAGCTTATTTTTCCATCAAGGTGCACATTTCTATCAGAAACCAGAAATAAACCATGAACTATGGTAGATTATCTTACCCAGTACTGCCCCTTTTACTGAATTACAGGAGCCTTGCTTTGCACTGCATAGCAACGAAGCAATATGTTAATTACACTCAATGTACAAAATAAAATGACCAAAAATATACAAAAGCCCACAGGCTGTAGTTCTACAGTATGTGGTAACGTATCAGCACAGTAAGAATATGCAGAGGCATCTTTACAGTGCCACTCGAGCATCAAATAAAATAGATTCATAACCTTTAAGATCAAAATTAACTTCATCCCATCATCTTATTTTAGTGCATTTAATATTCAACATGTAATACTAGAACATCATCAGCACACAAGCTGAGTGCTCAGAGTAGCTGAACTCCAAACCCGTGTGTTCTCCCACAGTGAAAACGTGGTCTGCCCCCGCTACAGCTACGAGCATTAAGCTAATTAGCTTGTTAATTAGCCTGATTCGCCCAGTCCCAGTTTAACTCACCAGCACGCTTCTAATGTTCAACTCTCAGAAAGGATCTTGTCCACTTCATCCGCACCCGCGCAGATCTACAACATTGAAATTGGGCCATTATATTCCCGGTTAACTTCTTGTTAGCTTGTTAGCTTGAAGGTTAGCTTCTGACTCACGGCAATGGTTCTAAAGTCCAAAATGTTCAAAACAAATCAGGTCCGTTTCTCCAAGGTCCATGCAGATCTCCGGTATGGATATTTGCTCAATTTATCAAGTTTATAGTTATTTTCCAGCAACAAGCTTGGCGGTGAAAATCAGCGACGGTGCACCTCCTCTCTCTCTGTGTCTGAGCACATACAGAGCAGGGGAAGGCAGGGCTTGTTCCTTCCTAACCAGTAGGGGTGTCAAATATACTCTCTGGGGTTTTATTTTTATATTCAGATTATTTATCTTTTATTATTGATTTACTTTAGCTCAGCTCAGTGATTAACAGAGTAACGATGAATCACAATTAGCAATAACAATGTTGTAGTGCATTACAGAGTCGTGTAAACTCACTGGGTTACATTTTCAATAGATATTTGACTTATTCTGACAATCCATTGTCAATTGTAAATGTTTCATATATTCACTCATTTAAGCTTTTGCTTTTGATGAAACAGCAGAAGCATCGAATTCAAGAGGACATTAAAAAGAAGAAAGTGAAACTCGATCAAGAGAAATTCAAACTGCAACATCTGAAGGTTGGTTTGAATAAATGATCGGCTATAACAGCAGATAAAGTGTAGAGCAAATCATTTCATTGGATGTGTATTATCAGCATGAACTGCAGAAGTAATCAATTCATTTCAATTCAGTTTTACTGATACAGCGCCAAATCACAACAACAGTCGCCTCAAGGTGCTTTATATTGTAAGGTAGACCCTACAATAATACAACAGAGAAAAACCCAACAATCATATGACCCCCTATGAGCAGCACTTTGATGACAGTGGGAAGGAAAAACTTCATTTTAACAGGAATGTCGCAGCAGATGGCCACGACTGGTTGGGGTGAGGAGAGAAAGGCAGGATAGTCGTCCTACCTGTTTGCAGACCTGCATTTTTACTTCCAGTCCCAATCCACACTAATGATAATTCTGTTCTTCTGTACAGAAAAAGGCTCTGAGAGAGCAGTGGCTGCTGCGAGACTCCAATAATGGAGTCGACTGCACACAGCAGCAGAGCTTTCTGTCTGACCGGGAACACACCAGAGCCCTGCAGCTCAGCATCCACAGGTACAAAATCAGCTCAAACAGAGCTCACAGAGAAGCACATATCATCACCATAGATTACGCATGGGCATTGTTTGGCCTTGCAGGCCACAGCCTTTTGGTGTCTCTGACATCTAAAGGTGAATGGGAAATTAGAATTCAAATGTAAATAAGTATAATGCAGCTTGTTCCATCTTAGACATCAAACACTCATTGATCATCTCCAGAGAACGGTGTACTGTGTGTTTTGTACGTTTGTGAGAGGTGTGGGTTTGCTAGCTCTGAAAGATGTCAGCACACAAAAAAGATTGATGCAGAATATAGTTTTTAACGAGGTAAATCCTTAAACACAAGGATTACAATTTGAATTGTTGTTAGGAGACTAAACATGGTAAATGGACTGATTCTTATATAGCGCTTTTCTACTCTCCCAGAGTACTCAAAGGGCTCTATACAACATGCCTCATTCACACCCACTCATACAAGCAGTTCTAAACACAAGTGCAAACGACTCTACATTCACACTCCAATGAACGCATCGGAGGTGGGGTTAGTATCTTGCCCAAGGATATTTGGCATGCAGACTGGGGAAGCCAAGGATCGAACCACCAACCTTTCAATCAGTAGCTGATCTGCTCTACCACCTGAGCCACATCCATCCCAGCTTGAGGGGTCCAGATCCTCACTCAAACCTGGCAGCTCTGCACTCACCTTCAGGACTGAGGACATGGTGAGAGCCCTCAGGAGGACCAGGGAGAGAAGCTCACCCGGCCCTGACAACATCAGCAGGCGAGTTCTGAGACAGGGCAACTAGGAAGTGTGTTCTGGACTCTATTTCAAAACTCAATTGACAGTCACACCGTCCCCAAAAGAAACAACCCAAAGTCTCTGAATGATCTTCGTCCTGTGGCCCTCACCTCCCTGGTGATGAAGGCCATGGAGAAGATCATAAAACAGCACATCAAGAGCAACTGACCCACTGATGGACCCTCCCCAGTTTGCTTACCGTGCACGCAGAGGCGTCGATGATGCAACAACCTTCATCTTGGACTCCATCCACAAACATCTGGAGCTCCCTGACTCCTCCACCAGACTTCTGTTTGCTGGTTTCTCATCAGCGTGCATCACTCTGCAGCCTCGTATCCTGCCCACTAAACTTTCCTTCTGATTTCACCTGGATGATCAGCTAATCCTGTGGACAGAGATGGGCAGTAACGTGTTACTTGTAACGCGTTACTGTAAACTGATTACTTTTTTCGAGTAACGAGTAAAGTAAGGGATTACTATTGCAAAAAAGGTCATTAGATTACTGTTACTTTCCCGTAGGAACGCTGCGTTACTGCGTTACTAAAACCGTGATTTTTTTGCAAGAGTGTCTCGTGACAGTGACGTAAGCAAGCGCGACGTT